ACTTCGGTCTCATAATCAACTATTACGTCTTGCCAATTTCTGCAGTGTGCTCTTCTATTCTGTCCCTACCTTTTTCATACTCCTGAGTACAACAGGTTCCTTAACTGGTTCCCCAAATCCATCCTTCACTCTCGATGACTCATAAGAACAAAATTCAAACCATATCATTCTCCTGCTACGGTTCCCCACAAAGACTAAAATATAAACAACTAATCAAGGCATATAAAGTGCTCGGTGCCCACCCATCTAGTCTTACATGTTTGGCTATTTCCTGCTTCAAACTTCATGTTCGAGCCACACGAAACTGTTCGCCACTCCCCACACACATACACTTAATACACTTCATGTATTTCCTACTTCCAGTTTTACTCATGCTAATTGGTTTTTCTGTCCAAACCTCCCACCTTACCATTTACGAATCTGTTTACCACCTCCTCCAGAAAGCCTTCTGTAACACTGTCCCCTCCCACTATTTTAGTTTTGATATTACCGTGTCTATTATCTTCCTCTTCTGCACCGTCTTTTAACCATCAGAACAGCAACCTAAAGTGGGTGTTAAAGCACAGACTAAGACTGCCTGGGTTCAAATTCTGCCTTTGGACTTCAGTAGGGCAGTTAACGATCCTGTGCCTCGGTTCTGGCATCTCAGTAGGTACGGTAATTCTTCCTATCTTTTAGAGTTACTGTGAGTCTTATTTTGCTCATCAATTTTTAGCTTACTTAAACCATGGCAACTTTTATATTGTTATCGAAAACTTACAATGCACTTTTCCCAAATACAACAATTCTCACCACAACCACTGAGATGGGTATTTTTTTATTATCCCCATTTTGTGTTGAAGAAATGGTTCTGTAACTGACTGGCCCCAAATTGCTCATCTTGTTCACAGACGCTGGGGCTCAAATTCTGACTCCTGATTCAAAGTCCTAAGTTTCAGTTTTTGTAAACCAGATAACGCTCTTCCTGGGCATGACTATGAACCAAAGTGCTTCTCTGGCCCATTCTAAGCCTTCCAGAGTCATCTCTTTTTATGACTCTACAAATGCTTCTCATCCCCATACCGCCCCATATTGCAGGCACAATGTCCTGTCCCGTCTCCATCCGTCACTGCCCACCACAGCACGCCCTCCCTTCACACTACACATTGAAGGTGGGGATGGAGCTCATCAGGGACCCCTCCAACCTTTCCGCATCTCACACAGACAGCTACCAAAATCTAGTCGGTAACTTAATTCTTTAACTTTCAAATTTTATTTTATACATAACTTTCAAGTTCAAAGATAATGTGTGTAGACCCCCCCCGCCCCAATAAAGTGGATGTTCATATTAGGAGTAGAAAGTGTAGAAAGGCTTCAGGAAAGACTGATCAGGGATGGCCTCTCGGCCGAGTGGTAAAGGGAGCCTGATCCCATGTCCTCAACACCCTCAGATAACCAATGCTGTGACTATGTCTCTATGTACTATATATTTTGGGGCTTTGTTTTTAGATTATCGACACATTCACGGCACCTTCTTTACTATGCCAGGCTACAGAATAAGTGATTCTGTACTTCAACTAAGATCTACTGTAGTTAACATACAAACGACTGTACATGCCAAAAATAAGCATATTTAGAACTCTAAGTATGTGGGGTCGAGATGCCAATTCTGAGTGGTATTCAGGCCTTAGTCCCCCCTGCACCAATATCAGTCCCTTCCATGCCGCATCTGAAACAGTATAGTTAGTAACACCCTTTTTCCCTTAAATCTCCTTTCCGTGATGTTCGGCATGCAGCCTTTGGACACTGATCAGTAAGTACCTCCAACCCCTATCAGCACAGGGATGCCATGGCAGTGGTGGTCATAGACTATCCACTCTT